CCAATGGGGAGTTTTGCTGTTCTCAAAGCTTAAGTGACCTACAACCACTTTGAAGAGTTTATAAGATATACAGGATTATAATCTAAATTTTCTATTACCTGGTTTGTTTTAAGTTACTATTTATGAACAACAAGGCATTGGATATCATTTGAATTCACTGGCTGGTTTAATCATTATAAAAATACATATTACTATTATAAATTGAATACAAAAAAATTCAAAGTTGGTGACAAAAGAAGTGCTGGGGTGTAGCTCAGTGGTAGATCACTTTGCAAGGCCCAGTAGTTTAGAAAAAAATACCAGAACCAGAATATATATATATATATGTGTATGTATAAAATACTATCACACACACACACACACACACACACATATATATATATATACACACACATACATAAACAAATATAATTATAACATTACATATGTGTATATGTGTTGTGGGTTTTTTTTTAAACAAACACAGCAGCTATCTCGTCAAGAATATCTGGGGGAGGAGAGTGTGGCGGGCCACACAGGAGATCCTTCTAGAGAAGAGGAGTTGATCAGGGTCTCCTCACTCTCTCCTTGGAGATGCGCGCTCTCCTTTTGTTTCAGCGGGGACTGGTCTTCGGAGGGCAGGGCTGGTGTGGGGGATGGCCCCTAGGGAAGGGAGATGATGTCGCCAAATCCAGATGAGAAAAGAAAAAAAAAAAAAAACACGCGAGATGCTAGGGGATCTCTCACGCACAGTTCAAGCTCCTGCAGCCCAGTCAGCGGGAAGGCCTCAGACTGAGTCCGGCGACAGCTGAGAATGGCAAAGCCAGGTCACCGGGAGCTTCTCAAGACTCTCGCCAGCACCCTTCTAGACTGACGGTCCTTTCTGCTTTACTTGTCTTCAACGGTCTTTCAGTCAGCAGTAGTTCTAGGGTCCAGTGAAACCCAGAGTGTCACGCAGTAGTCTCTTCTCATCCGTGGTCTTAGTTACCTGTGGCCAATAGCTACTTGAAAAGAAATTCATGAAAATTTTCAAAACCAAGCGTATTCATAAATTTTAAATTGCCGTTCTGAATCACATGATGAAATCTTGCCCCATCGATTCTGTCTTACCAGGGACGTGACTCATGTTACGTCCAGCACCTCTACACTGCATGTGCCACCCGTGCCTGGTGAGGGGGAGACAGAAAGAGAGATGGAGAAAGAGATGCAGGAGAGAGAATCATATTGACACAACTCTCACTTTAATATATTCTTATAATCCTTCTATTTCCTTGTGTTATTGCTGATTGTGCCTAAATTGTAAATTAAACAGGATTACAGGAATGAATCACATAGAAAGCATGGTATTTATAGGGTTAGGCACCATCCAAGGTTTCAAGTACCCAGTGGAGTTCTTGGGACATATGCCCTAAAGACATGGGTTGGGGGTGGAATTTAAACTAGATACTAACGTGGAGGACTCCTAACAATTCAAACAGAAGCATTTCAGCAGCCCCTGAATGTCCTGTGTTTCATAGCCCAATGTACTGCCCCACGTTCCTGTGAAGCAGACCCTTGTAGCCCAGGTCTGAGCATGCTGCCAGCCGCCTACAAGCCTGTGTCTGTGCAGCGGACTTCATGGACCTCACCACAAAGGATGCATCTGCCACACATTTAGCTACGGCCCTTGCAAGGAGGGAGGAGATTGTAACACAGGGATATTCGTTAGCAGAGAACCTGGCATGTTCTCCGAAGCATCCCAAGGGATCCTGTCCTCTGGGCAGCAAAGTGCCTCCCTCACCTGGTTACAGAACCTCTAGGGAGAAAGCTCAGTCCCACCCGAAGGTGCTGTTGCTGGGTCCCCTTCGGCAGAAGTTGAATGAGGGGGTGGGGAGAGCCGAAGTCAGTGTTCTCACTTTGAGTAAATCAATTGGCTAATCAGGGTGGGATTTTCCATCTGGGAGTTGAAAGGGCAAAAGGAGAACAGTTAATTTTTCAAAGCTTCACTTTAAAATACAGCCCCCATGTTTGTGAGTCACATTTGATGCAGGGTCCAGGAGGGACATCAAGGAGTGGTGTCAAGGCCAGAATGAGCATATTTTAAAGTAACAGCAAGTAAATTAAGCCAATTAGGCATTTTCGATGCCAGGAATCTATTTTCCCCACCTTTCCTTTTTATTTCAAGAGATCCTGCTTGCAAGACAGAATTTCTTTCTTTTTGTTTTGCGTTTGTCCTTCTGATGTTCACCTTTGTTCCTGTACCATGGGAGACTGTGTCATCCAGTCCCGCTAGGGTAGGCACCAGGCTGCCCCTCAAGCAGGCCGCCTGCCTCTAAATGTGGTGGTAAGGGTCGGGGGAAAAGCTTTTTAAAGAGTACAAACTCCACCAAACTGGGGAGACCCCACAGTGGATCCCCTAAATAAAGGTTGGTGAGGTTAAGGAAGATACAAAATGGAAAGCAGTCCTGGAAATGCTTGGGAAGGAGGTGCCAGATAAATTCAAGCTACTTTTACGACTACTTTTATGGGGCAGCCTTGGACGTGGTGGGTGGTCCCTGAGCGTGTGGCTCATTCATTCCCTCACATGGATCTTCAGCTTGCCATCTGAGAAGTGACCCAGAATCTGGTGTGGGGATGTGTGATGGGAAGATGGTTCCGCCAGGCAAGTAGCGTGGAGGTCCCTAGTAAGGAGGCAGCCAAGTCACCCAAAGCAGAAGACAGGTTTCTCAAAGTTTCCGACCATGGTCCACTGGGACTGAGCCCCTCGTTCACCCCACCACTTCCACTTTTCTACAATACAAGACCAAGTGATAACAAACAAGCAGAGAGTAACAAAATCAGGAAGTTGTTTGCAGTACACATAAATTTGTATTATTTACTCTACGGGAGATGAATATGAGCTTATACAGACTTGGTTTTATTTTATAAAACAATGCCTCATAAACTAAACACTAGCCCAGCAATTTTATTACATTTACCTTGGTAATATGTTGCAAGCCATTTAAATAGAACAAATTCTCTGACAGGCCATCATCCATGAAGTATGGCTACATAAGCTCAACAGTTTTGGGGTAATGTATAAATTGGTTTTAACATTAGGTGCAAAGATGATTCATATTCAAACCCCAATGCAAACATGCCTTCAATTTAAATTTTAAAAAATTCTAATTTGGAGATCAATAATGCTGTTAGTGAAAATGTATCCCTCTATGCACAGTAGGGTTGAGCAGTGACCTACAGCAAAGTAATAATGGAACAATGTTTAATATAATTTATAAATTAAATAAGCGAGACAGGCACACTTGGAATATCACAATCTCTAAGGAGGGTCCTTCTGGAAAGTCAGAGAGAGGCACCTAGGATTTGCATGGAAATAGGTGCACCAGGGCTCTAGAGTGGCTCCAGAAGCCAAGAAGAAAGTCCCCTGCAAACTCTAGTGTGTTCTTAATTTGTTCTTATGAAGTCCTAATTGCATTAACCTTTAATAACCCTCCTGGTGAGTCCTGGGTAAGTGGCCCTTGGTAATATGTGAATCTGAAAGTTGAGGTAACTCACTTGCCCATGCCAGTGACAGGACTTTCCCTCCATACGTGGACAGTGGACTTCATGGTGGCCTTACAGGAAAACTAGGACATGGTAAAGGGGAAATACATTTAAGGTTAGGGAGTTCAAAGGAAAGAAGCTTTGGGCTGGATGCAAGGTGAGGGAGAACAGACAGCAGGGATAGCAGCTTGGGAGTGGGACCTTCCAGGAGAAGAGCCCCCCCCAAAGCCCTCTCCTTGGATGGAGAGGCATGAACAAATGAATAAGTGGGATCCAAAGAGCTGTGGGCAAGAGGAAGGAAGGAGTGGGAGAAAGACCTTACACCATTCCCAGGTATGCAGCTGATGTGGGGTAGACACAAAATTGGAAATGAGAAAGTGAAATGTATAAGTGACACCCAGAACCCCTCTTTAAAGCCTCATTCAATACATTAAATTTTTTCTGGGATCAAAACCAGGAAACTTGGAATCAGGAGGGGTGAGCTCCAATTCAGTCTCCACCTCTTCCTGGCTCACACACCGGGTAAAGAAGCAACCCTAACCACACAGTCCCTGCAAACCTAGGAAGGACTTTTTCCAGGGTCCCCCCTCATACCCCAAGCTGCGGATGTTCACATCTCTTATATAAAATGGCAGAGTATTTGCATATAACAATGGAAATCTTCCTATACACTTTAAACCATCTCTAGATGACTTATAATACCCAATGCAATGCAAATGACATGTAAAGAGTTGGTAAGCTATATTACTTCAAGAATAATGACGAGGAAAGAATCTGTGCGTGGTCAGTACAGACAAGATATTTTTCCTACACAATCTCAGTCCACAGTCAGTTGAACCCAGGGATGAAGAGGTGCAGCTATGGAGGACTAGGACTGTACTTTGTTTTCTTTCCTATGGAATGAGGGGTGGAACCCACTGTATAGGGTTTTAGTGAGGAGAAATAGAGCTGTCCTTGGAAAGGCTTAAGCAAACCCAAAGCATTATGCACATGATGAATATCTTCATACCTGTTTCAAGACACCTCTGAGCAAAAGAGAAAAGCGAGCTACCCAGGCCTTCAAATCACCTGGCTGGACCCACAAGTCTGTCTGGCTCTAGAGAGCGAGAGATGGCCCATTGCAAGGATCGCCAGCATAAGGCCCAGCTAAACTCCAGGATGCCATCTACTCCCTTCCAAAACAAATATCGTTGCTTCCACAAAATACCCAAGACACTGCTCAGCTCTGACTCAGGGAACACATATGCCTTTACTTATTTAATTTTTCAAGGAGAAAGACCTCAATCAGAAGAGCAGTGTTTTCAACAGCACTCTCCTATGTTATTATACTGGTCATTGTTTCCAAATTGACGATGTTACTTAATCAAACCCCACACTAGTGCTCTTAAAAGCACTTAGAACAAAGCAATAAGGAGTTCTCTGCCACGGTTTGGCTTTTCTTTCAGTGTCTAATCCAACCTCACACATTTCCTACTGTCTCCCAAAATGAGTCCTAGGCACTCTTTCTATTCTCCTCACATAACCCTCCCTAAGAGGAAGGAAGGGAGAGAGGCATGGAGGAAGAAGGAAGAAAGAATGAGGGAGAGAAGGAAAAAAGGGCAGAGAAAATGGATGGAGAGAGTTAGACAGAAGTGCAGGCAGCGTAGCTGGACTGTCTCACACCCCTGATGTATACAGGCAGATGTGGGAGGCAGCTCTGAGCCCCAAAAGGCCAGAGTGTTGCCCTGTTGGCGCCCATTCCCTGCTTCCTGAGTACCTGAGGGTCAGGCCCTTGCATCTAATTGGACAGCTGGGTTGGTGACTGTGGCCTGTCCTGCCAGCCGCCTCATCGGCCCCAGTGACAGCTGTATCACTTCCCTGATGTGAGTGGGCGCTGAGGAGTGTTGACACACGATCAACTTCCCTCTAATATCCTTCAAACAACCTGACAGTTGTCCGGCAGGGGCTAGTCAGCTCTGCTGCCAGTGGACTGAGGCATTGTGGGAAAGCTTGCTAAGGACAGCAGGCCCTGGAGACTTCAGATGAGGCTTTTGTTTTCTCCTAGCAGTGGCTCAGATTGGAAGTAAATCCTGCAGTGCTATCATAGGGGCCTCTGTACAGGATCTGGAAAACTGCACATAACTGTAAGCAGTTGTGTTTGGGGAGGGGACGTGTGCTGTTGCTCGGAGACTAGATTGGTTGTTTAGTCCATGTGGGATGTAGCTCAGAAGACCTGCAGTCACAAGGGTACACCCTCCTTCTTTCCCCTAACTTCCCCCTTCCTACCCCTCCTTTCCTGTTCCCACATTCTTTATATTTTCCCCTCAAAGAGTTTAAGATAGAAGAGATACTGTCTCATACTATGCAAAGTTCAGAACTTTCAAAGTCAGAAGCAGAAATCTGTCCATGTTTTCCCAACCATGGCCAACATCTAATGGGTTTATGGCGCTGTGACATCTCATCACTCCTGACCTCCCAGCCAAGTCTTAATACGTGGACCACTCCCACCTCTGCTTTTCTTCTGGTACAAAGGACAATGCTAACTTGGCATCCAGGAAGCATGAGTTTCGTGAGAGGCATCTGCATTATTCGGAAGTGAGATCTGAGACATTTGCATCTAGTGATTTGTCTTTTTTTCCTCTGGTTCTCTTGGTCTCCAGACACTAAAGAGCAGGGGTGGGAAGAGGAGGAAATCTCAGCTACCATGGCCAGAGTGTTGGTATTTCTCAGGAATCAGGGCTCTTTGGGCTGCAACTGAAGAGGGCAAGAAAGAAGTTGTTACATAAGGATGGATATCGGAAGGCTGCAATAAACCATCCACCAGCGTCCAGCTGCACCTCAAGAACATCAGGGCTAGAGATTTAAATGCACCACAGCTCTTGGGTCCCTTCTTTGCTCCTCCTGCAAGTGTCTTTCCTAGCCCTCTTCCCTGTTTCTGCCCTCTTAACTTTCCTTTGTGGTTAAAGCAAAACAAAGCAAGGGCCCAGCACTTCCAGAGTTTCAAAACTTGCAGCTCCACTTTCAAAGAAAGTACTGGCCTCTGTTTCTCAGTTACACTTTAAGATTCTCCTCGAGAGAGCACACGTGATCGACCCAGCTTGATCATGCGTCCCTTGTCAAACCAATAAACTGGCCAGGGTGTGTGTTAGGTGGACCGAACACAGAGGCCTCCATGGGAAAAATGTAGGTGGAAGGAAAGGGATGATTTTAGGTGATTCCAGAAGTGGAAATTAATAGACAAAGGAAGCCATAGCCGACAACGAATGTACTGACGAGTGTGCAAAAACGGACTGTTATTGTTTGGATGAAAAGCATTCCCCAATGATTTCACATCCATGGGAGGTTACTGGATCCTGACGAAACTCTCACAGCTATCCCCATCGGTGAATTTGCCTATTTATGAATTCAGTAGCTGAATATGTCCTTGGTAGGTAGGGCCTTCTTGGAGGTGGGTCATGTGCGGTGTGACTAGAAGGGTGTGTTCTTGTCCTAAGCCCCTTGCTTCTTGCTGTGCTTCTTGACTGCTACAGGATAAGCAGCTGTCCTCTACCACGCTGTTCCGTCATGCGTTTCCTGCGTTGGAGCCATCAGATTTGGCACTGAGTCCACTGGAAAGTGTCCCAAATAAATGTCTCCTCCTTGAAGTTGCCAGGGTCAAGTATTTTGTCCCAGTGACAGGAAAGTGACTGATACAGGGACTCCGTGAGGAAGTTAACTAGAAGATACTTTACGACTTTCCATGAAGGATTTGCTCTGACACTACCTTGGATTAGAGTTTAAGGTTGTCATAGTTTGTGGTTAGAGTATCTTCACTTTGCTTAGCCAGTGAGAAATAATTCAGAAATATTGCTCTGCAATGCAGCCAGTGACATTGCTTTAAAAAAAAACTCAGCTGGCACCCCAGAAGAAATAGCAGAAATGACTGGCTGGGAAATCATAAAATAAACCCATCTTCCAACTAGCCAGGGTTGACTTACAAAGCAAGAGGTAAAGCTGGTTCTCTCTGTATTCCCTGGCAGCTTTCCATTCTGCCCCTGCTCCCCAGCTGAGCCTCGAAAGGCAGCCCCACTGATCAAGTGAGGCCCTGGCAATCAAGCGGAAGTGAACCTTGTTGTCATTGGCTGCTCTGAAGGTGCCTCTGGGAACCTCAGTTACGTGTTGGTAAGGCTGGATAAAGCAGCAAATGTGACCCTGGAGAGACCCTGCAGATTTGGGACCTCACTCTGTCTGCTCCAGTTCAGAGAAGAACTTGTGGAGAAGCTGAGGGAGGAGGAGGGTAGGGTTAACGTTCGATTAAATGCAGGTAAGCTGTAATTAATGCACAGAGAAGAAGAAAGAGCCCTGGCTTGGGAGCTACTGCCACGCACCTCAGAAGGGTTGGTCTTGAACCCAGTGTGAGACTTAGTTTTAGCTTTTTGGGAGCCATACTACTTTTGAAGAACTCATCCTTTGGTGGTGCTAGTGGCCACTTCAACATTACAAATTTCCCACGAGTCTGATTTATGAGCAATCTGTTAGCTATTTGAATCACAACACCTTATCTGAATTAATTAATCTCTCCAAAGGGGAAAAGGGAGCTCTCTCCTTAAATGTCAAGTTTGGGTCCTGTCCATTTTCTACAAGCAAGGAAGCATCTTTTGATTAAAGTCGAAATTTCTCCCAGTTGGGGTTACCCAGTACCCAAGGGTTTTAATGTGGTTGACACACTTGGACTCGATACGTGTGTAATTACTAGATGCAAGTCCTTTCATTTCCATCTGAGTGCTGGCATGGCAGAGAAAAATTAGAATCTTTCCCAGGCTATGCCTTTAACATTTCTGTGATGGGGTGGCCACCCACCAGCCCGCTATCATGGGGCTGCAAGCCAGCATGCCACAGTTTGCATTTATCTCTGTGATACGCTGTGAGACGCTGTCAGGGGACAAGGGTACTGGCTATTCATGAGGCTGCTCCTGCTATTAAAGTCCTCTGCAGCCTGCCCTCTTTCCCATTGTGCTACCCAGAAGTCTGTTCCCAGGTTGATCTGTCTGCATCTCTTCCTCTCCCTCTTTACACCTCCTCTTGCTTCCCTTCACCCTGCCTGTCCTCCTGAGTCCCTGGCCATCAGCCTCCAACCTTGGCAATGTTTCCTGTCAATCAGTCTCCGAGCCTGGAGATTCTCTTCACTGTTTTCACCCTAGACCCACAGCCATCTCTTGGTGACAGCTTTTTGATCCCTCGGTGCCTTGCCACCATGGTATTTTGAGAACACAGGGCTCCACAGGGACCTCCAGGCAGATGGCAGAAGCTGAGAATCTGGCCCCGTCCCCTTGTCACTCAGCTGGACTCTGCTTGCCACCAGCCAGCCCTGGTACGAAGCTGGGGGTGAGAGCTCCTGCTGTCTTTCTCTTTTCTCCTGTTGCTCTTTCTCATGTTATCATGCTTTGTACTTGTATCTTCATTTATCAGCTTGAATTTGTCTGGGAATATGACATTATACACTGTCTTAATCCATTTTCTGTTGCTATAACAAAATGCCTGGGATGCAGTGATTTACTCTAAAAAGAAATGGATTTCTTACTTGGTTGGGAAGTTTATATCTTGACCCATTAACATGTGTTTGGTGTCTGGTGAGGGCTTCCATACTGCATCATAACATGGCAGAGGGCAGCACATGGCAAGACAGAGAAAGCTTCCAGAGAGAGGCACTCTTGTAAAAAAAAATCTACTTCCATGACAACCTTTCATTTATAAATCCATGAACTAGTCTCAACACTGTTGCATTTGGGGCCAATTTTCCAACACATACAATTTGGGGGACATATTCAAATTGTACCATGCATGGCAACACATTTCTTAAAACAAATGGTCCCTTCTCATTCACATTAGTAACCACTTACTAAAAACCCCCAAGTTTAGATTCATCAACTATTTCTCTGTCTCTAATTAAATACCTTGGTTAGGAGACAGTGGACATTGGGCCCCAGTAGCAAAGGTCTGATTCATATCCCATTCTGGACACCTGGCATTCATGTGACTTTGGTCAAGAAACTTTATGTCTTGGAACTTCATCTGTAAAATAGAAATCACACCTCATGGGCTTGCTGCAAGGACAAAATGAGCTAATTTGCAAAGCAGATAGATTCAGGCCTGGCCCACCGCAACTGCTGCATAAGTAGCTATTACTGTTTCTAATAAGTATAGTCATATATGTTTTCTCCTTTTATTATTATGAGGATCCTATTAACCAGTTATTACTGTCCCTATTTTGTGTCTGAAGACACCAAAGTAGCTAAATTCAAATACTTTGCACAAATTTATACCACTGATATGCATCAAAAGCAAGAAATACAACTCTTTCCCAAAACCTGTCCCCAGAGTGAGTCTGATCTGGTTTTGAGCAAGGAGGCCCTCATCAGGCTGTGGTGGGAGAGTCTGAAGATGCCAGGACAGAGGGTCAACTGTGTGTGGTGTGAAGTTCTACAGGGCAGGGAGGAAATGACCTTCCTAGAATTTCCTGGGGAAGTCGGTTAGGGGTAGGTTTAAAGGATAAAGTAATTGAGGGTCAGGAGGTGAATCACTGAGGATTCCTAGCAGGGGACATGCCCCAAAGGCCTATGTAGGAGCAGAGGGGGCAAGAGGAGGTAGCACTGAAGAAAGTGCCTATGAATAGGGGAAACTCTTGTACCATTGATGCCGAGTAACTGTTTTGACTGCACTTCTCAGTTAAGAAAGTTTCTTTTGAGGTTTCCCTGAGTGAGCTCCATGCACCTGTCATGGACTGCACAGTGGCTTAGGTTTCATTGTTGCATTCTTCCAAGGGTTTTGAGAATTACTGTCCATAGGTGCTAGCACCAGTGTCCAGTGAATGTCTTGCCCTAGGCTTTGCTGTGCCCAGAAAGCCTCTTGGCTGAAAGTAGTCCACAGTGGCCTTTGGAGGTTTTCTGGGATGGGAAACAACAATCTGGGCTCCCCCCTGGACCAGTTCATGTGACTTTGGATTCTCCTCTTTGTAAACCGAAATCTGCAAGTTCTGGAAGCAGCTCAGTTTCAGTCCTCCTTCTTTCCCTGCTCTCCATAGGGACTGTGGGAAGAACCTTCACATGGAGACACAGCAGTTTTTGGATGGAGACTGATCAGACCGTGAGCCTCAGCTTCCTGTTCCTGTAGTAGACAGCCAACTACTCCTGAGTTTCTTTCCAAAAAGGCCTCAGCTCTTTGCTCATAAAGTTTTGCCTTTCTGTGCCTGTGCTTTAACCAAATTTAGGTTGCAAATTCATTTCCTGTCACTGCTGTGACAAATTACTACAACTGTGGTAGCTTAAAATACAAAAATTATTGTGCCACAGATCTGAAGGCTGTGCTTGCAGGGCCATGCTTTCCTCAAAGACCCTAGGAGAGAATTTGTCCTGCCTCTTCAATCTCCTGGTGGCTCCAGGAGCTCCTGCATTTGTGGCTCCATAACTCCAGGGTCTGAGTTTATCTTCACATGAAACTAAGACCACAGCCCACAGCAACATGGTCAGCTTTTACCACATTGCTAGGGCTATTACACTTCCCTGATTCCTAAAATGCACATGACATTGTGATCACTACACTCCAAATACAGATTCCCCTTACACTCTTTATAGCACTAAGGCTATTACCAGAGATAGAGTCCCCTGGAACTATGCTTTTCATGGTTTTCTGTTAAAATACAGCAGAGAGCAACTCAACACATAGCAGAAATATGCCATTACATTTCATTTTGAATTAGACAAGCCCTGTCTTTTCCTGACTGTTCCGTTCCTTCCTACATTTGGCCCAATGTTAAGCCAGGCACAGACTGATGTCAAGGAAGAAGGATGGCCGAAGTCTCATTAGATGTGATGCAACCGATGTCACGGAAGCTACACTGAAGGAGCTCCTGGGAGTCCTCAGGTTCTTCTTCCAGCCCAACTGCTCAGTAGCTGAGACACTTTGGAAAGGTCTCTTTGCCTCACCAAGTCTCCCTTTTTTCTAACAGGAAGATTAGGCAAGAACAGAAGCTGGGAAATTATGGCCAATGTGCCAAATCTGGTTGACTACCTGCTTTTACGAATAAAGTTTTATTGCTATACAGTTTTGTCCATTTGCATATCTATTGCCCATAGCTGTCTTCAGGAAACAGCAGCAGCAGTCCCGACAGATTCGCCTTGGACCAAAAACACAGAAAAATATGTGCTATCTGACCTTTTGCAGAAAAAGGTTCCCACCTCCTGGACCAGAATTGAGCTCTCTCAGGTCCTGTCCAGCTGTGTTATTTTATGATTCTCTCTGTGGATGTATCCCTCTCTTGATGGCTGCCTACAATCCGATGGTGCCCTGAGGAGTGGGCTGGTGAGAACGTGGTAGAGCCCCTGTGCGTTGTGTTTCTTCTAGGTTCCCAGGGGTGGTGGAGTCTGGAAACCCAAGAGGATCCCATTGCTCCACAATGGGCAGGGAAGGCAGAGATCTAGGAGACCCTGAGACCTCGAGGGAGTCCCCTGGGTCCCCAGACACCTGCTGACACTTCTCCTCCAGGCATGAGGGCTGATCACACTCGCTGTGCTTTGTCACTGCCCAAATGAGAGCAAGCCCTCCCTTCTTCCAGCAAGCCTCTATCGCCTCCATTCTCCTCTCTTATTTGTTAAACAAATCCTGATCTGCCTTTTTAGGCTGCTCTTGAATTTTATGGCAACATATAATAAACATCTGACTGCTTTTATTTCTATTTAACTTTTATCTTGAATGTCTCTGCTGTTTCAAACCAAATATTTATAGCATTGCACAGCCGCTGCAATTTCATTCCTCACCAATACTGTCACTCCCTCCTGCTCATGCTCTCCCACCCATTTAAGAGTCTGGGAAATGTTGGGGCAAATGGCCTCTTTTGGCCCCACAGGGCACTAAGCTTCAAGATCTGAAGTTGTCCAGCTCTAAGGTGAGCAGAGAGCTCTCTAGGCAGCCCTGGACCCAGCTCCGGCGAACTCATGTGTTCTGTGCTTTGTGTCTTCCCAGCTTAGTGTTAGACTGCACCTGTCTGTGTTAGGCACCCACGCATGCCCCAGGGGTCACCCCATCTGGTCTATTATGGAGAATACTTGGTACATGTGCTAGCTAACTTTCTGTTGCTGTGACAAAATACCTGGGAAAGTCAATTTAGAGGAGGATTTTATTTTAGCTCACCATTGTAGAACTTTCAGTACATGGCAGTACATGGGGGTCCCGTTGCTTTTAGGTCTTTGGTGAGTCAGAAACAAGAAACATCATGGATGAAAAGCATAGCAGAAAAAAAGCTGTTTGCTTCATGGCAGCTGAAAGAGAGGGGTGGGGTGGGGAAGAGAGCGGGAGAGAGAGAGGTAGAGAGAAGAGTGAAACTCAATGAAGAAGAAAGGGCTACCAAAAAAATGCACCCTTCGGAATCATGTCTCCAGTGACCTGCTTCATGTAATTAGGCTCCAACTCCTAATAAGCCCACCGAGTTATGAATTCCTTAGTGGACTAATCCATTGATGTATTTAGAGCCCACGTGATCCAATCATTTCTAAATACTACTTTACTGGGATCCAAGTCCCCGATACCTGATCCTCGGAGGACATGAATTCAGACCATGACAAGGCATTGTATATACCACTGATGGTGAACCTTTTAAAGCATCAAATGATAATGAACAGCCCATTGCAGTATGCGTGTCCTACGTTTGCCACCACTGTTCTAAGTCTTCTGTCTGCTCTGAAGCTTGTCTTTCCCTCCAGACCTCAGATTCTACCAAAGTCCCGCGAGTCCAGCTCCCCCATCTACCTGGGCTTGCTTTCAATTTCCATACCACTAAATGTGCTCCCAAGAGCCCTAAAGATCTTGTCTTCTCACAGGCTGTTCAGTCCCTAAGGGTCTATGTTAGTCAGTTTCCCATCTCTGTCAGAAACACCTGAGATAATCAGTTTATAAAATCAAAGAGTTTATTTTATTAGCATCCATCCATGACTGGCTGGCCCTGCTGCTTTTAGGTCTGTGTCAGGGCATCACTGGGGGCACCTGGGAACAAAAGAAAGAGTAAGAGGAGTGGGCCTGGGTCCCACACTTCAACTATCCAGAGACCTTCCAGTAAGGCCCCACCTCCTAAAGGTTCCACCATTTCTCACTCATGCCATGCTGGAGATCAAGGCTTTACCACAGGGGCCTAGGGGGAACATTCTCTATCCAAATTGAAGCAGGTTTGGAAGATTGAACAAAGAATGCTCTTTCAAGTCTAGAAGGCCCTAGACTTTCAAGCCAGATCTGAAAAGGATGGTGACCTGGGCATGGAGTCTGAAGACTGCCTTTTCTTTGTTTGAGCCTCAATTTCTACCTCCGTAAATTGAGAATCATATTATTTGCTTTCTTGTTTCTTAAGATTAGGTTGAGGACCCTGAGCGGGATGAATGAGGAACTATTTTGAGTGCTGTATTCTTTGTTCCATGAAGAAGGAAGAGAGAAGCTCTAGTCCCTCAGACCCATCAGAGTAAGTCAGCGAGATATTTCTTGCCTTGCTTGAGTTCATGCCCTTCTGGGGCTGTAGAGAACTCCTTCCTTCTCCTGGTCTGCTTCTTCTTCTCCCATCTGACTCACACTACTTGCACAAATCCTGCTGGGCTCTGCATATCACTCTGTGTTGGTAAATCAGCCTCCTTTCCAGTCCCTGGCCAGCTCCTCACTCCTCAGGGGACACTTTGCTCCAGTGAGTTCAAAGGTGAATACTTATGAAGCAGCCCCACTGGTCCTTGGTAATAATAATCCACTTGGCTGTAAAAACTTTGATACCTTAAGCCTAGTGTGAGACAAGTCACGTATAGCAGCTACACATCTAATACAGACTGAGCATCCTAATCTGAAAGTCTGAAACTCTTCAAACTCTGAAACTTTTGAAGGCTACTATGATGCCACAAATGGAAAATTTGCTTCATGCACAAAATTATTAAAAATTTAGTATAAAATTATCTTCAGGAGTATATGAAACATAAATTAATTTTGTGCTCAGACTTGGGTCACATCCCCAAGATATTTCCAAAATGTAAAAAATATGAAATCTGAAACACTTGTGGTCTCAATCATTTCATGTAAGAGATTCTCAGCCTGTGCCTTATATTCTCAGAGTTTGGATGACTTCTCCCAAATTTCTCCATCCCCAACCTTCCCTCCCTCACAGTAACATCCCTCTCCAATTCTAACAGAAAGTCGTTGTTATGAACTAAATGTTCATGTTTCCTTAAAATTTATATGTAAAACTGTTCTCCCCCAGTGTAATGCTAATAGAAGGTAGAGTCTTTCAGAGGTGATTGGGTCATGAGAATAGAGGTCTGTTGTGATTCGGGTTATGATATATCTGCCAAAAAGTCACTGTGTAGAAGCCTTTGTTGCTAATGAAATTTTGGGAAGTGACTGGTCCATGAGGTCTCTATCATCAGTGTATTAACCCACTACTAGGATCACAACTTGATGGCATTTTTGGGAGGTGATGGCATTATCGGGTGGGGCCAAGATGAAGGGAGTAGATCATGAGGACATGACCTGGGAGCTCTTCCTGGTCCCTGGCCTTTTCCTCTTCCTACCCATGCCTTCCAATTTCTCTCTACTTCCTGGCTGCTGTGAGGTGGGCAGCCTTCTTCTGCCACACCTCCACACTATGTTGATCTGCCTTGCCCCAAGCCTAGCAAAAGAGCCAAGTGACCAGGGACTGGAACTTCTGAAACTGTGAGTCAAAATAAATACTTCTTCCTCTAAATTGCTTTTCTCAGGATTTTGCTCACAGCAGCGAAAAGCTGACACGAGTCCTCATGAATGGTGTTACTCTTCTTAACAAAGGGACACCAGAAACTTCGCTTGCTCTCTTTCTGTTGTCAGCCTTCTACAGCACTACAGAGGGTCATCAGAGTCTGGACGCTGCTGATACCCTGCTCTTGGAATTCTAGCCTCCAAAATTGTGAGAAACAAGTTTCTGGTACCGTACTTTGTTGTAGCTGCCTAAACAGATTAAGACAGAGGTCCTCTGTCTGGACTAGGGGTTCCCAAAACACCAGAACTAAAGCAGTCTACAAAATGTTTCATGGGTAGCTTAGTCTGGACACTTGCAATTTTAATTTATAGAACCCAACGCCATCTGGATGAAGAGAAAAAAGTATATACTTATTTACCCAACTGAAAAACTCAGACGTAACTGAGTTTCAAAAACAATTTAATGCAGGAACTCAAGTGATGCCATCTGAAGCAATGTTTCACTCATAATAAGCTCTGGGCAGGGTTGTGACTAAAAGGAATGCTCATATTTTGCTGGTGGTAGATACGTTTATGCAACCATTTTGGAAAATTGCTGGGCATTACCTACTGATGCTGAACAAGTGCATACCCTAAGCAAAACATTTCTGTTTTTGATGAGCCCAATAGAAATGAATGTTTACATTTACCTAAAGATGCACACAAGACCTCTCATAGCAGCTTTGTTTATTGTAATAGCAAAAAACAAAGATGATCCAAATATCCATTAACAGGAGAATATGTAGGTAAAGTGGAATTTATTCACAAAAGGAAATATTATACAGCAGTACCAAAGAAAGCATTACTAAGACAACATATAACACAAATGATTTATAACATAATGTATGAGTGAGAAGACCTTCCACAAATAGTACATGCCTCACTTGAGTGATTTTATTTATATAAAATTCAACACAACAGTTATCTTTGGGGCTGTTCTTCCTGGAAGGAGATACAAGAGAACCTTCTGGAGTGCTGAAATGTTCTCTGTCTTGGCCCGGGTGGTAGATCACAGGTGTATAATTATGTAAAACTGCACTGAGCTACACAATTAAAATTTTTGTACTTTCTTCTATGTAAATTATACCACAATAAAAATATCTTGAGAATGATTATGAAAAGGAAAGAAAGAATGCCACATTTCTCCACCTCTTGATTCAATCTCACTGCTGGGTTCACAGTCCTTATGCAAAGGGGGAGTGGCCATCAGTGGTTTATAGCTGACGTCCACCATGTCAACAATGTCAGTAGGAAGAGCTTCTCTGGTGGCCCAAGGGAATGTCTTTCTTTGGATCATCTTTTCCCTACCAGGACTGGGTCCCGGGAGCACTCTGAAGGTAGGAAGATGCACCAGGAGTGAGCTGTCGGAAAATGTAGATTTCAAAAGGACAATCAAGGATATATGGATCTCACAGGTAGAGCAAATGGCCACATGAAAAACACATATACTAAGAGAAAAGAAAAACATAGAGTCAGTGCATATATGTGTGTGACTGTGTTTGTGTGGATGGGACGTGTACCTTTGTGTGTAAACGTCTCCATGCATACAAACTGATATTTTGAGGTTTAGCTTCTCTCGCACAAGCTGCAATGCAGAGCCCCTTTAGGAATGAAGGGCTGCCCTGCTCTAGGTTCTGAGAGGATCTTCAGCTGACAGTCCTCCATTTTCGGCTTTCATTAGAAATTGTCTCTGCTGAAAGGAGCTGCCTAGCATGGGCCGCGCCCTCTTCCAGAAAGCAGATTCATGCAAGAACTCATCTGCAGCCATCCAGGGGCCACCTCAGGATGGTTCTGAGGCCCTTCCAGTGTTGGCTAAGGGGTCACTGAGGCCTCACTGCACGCTCCTTCTTCTCTCAGCTCCACCTGCCTCCTTACCATCCCAGGAGTATTTCCTCATGAACTTGCTGCAGTCATGTCTATCTCAGAGCCTGTTTTCTGAGGAACTCAGCCTGCAACAGTGGCCAGTTGTCCTTCCTTGTGCTGGGCCAGCCTTTATTCTGTCAGTGCATAGTGGCTACTTTTGCTAAAAATGATCTTTGTGCTACACAATGGTGGCAGAATCAAACAAGAGTTTGAAAAATAGGCAGCTTCTTCATCCGTCCTCTGCTTCAAGAGCAAACACATGAAATTCAAGTGAATGGCATTCTTCATCCACTCGGACAAACCATAGACCATGTCCAATTTCAGGATCTAGCTGCCCCTGGAATATCCTTCCTCCCAAGAAAACATTTGTCATGAGTGCCTGCTTTCCCTTATCAGCCACCCAGTATCTAGTTCATATTCTTTGGAGAAAAAGCCTCAAGTTCATTTGAGACCCCCTACTTCTTTGTTCTTGGTGCCTATGCTTAGGAGGGATTTACCTTCCTCCTCTCTCTACTGGAGATTGGGAGTATGAACATGGAAACCAAAAGGAATTTCATCCTCTAAGCCACAGTGATTGCCTTCCAAATATGATTGCCACCTGGCCAGGCCAATGACATTATGGTGCAGGATTTTGTTAGCTTTTTTGACAATAAGG